CACCTTCACCATCATTACCATAAACATTACCCCATCCCAACTACTTTCAGTTCTGATGAAGGGTCACTGGTCTCAAAACATTAACTCAGCTTTTCTCTCTACAGATACTGCCAGACCTGTTGAGTTTCTCCAGGACTTTCAGACTTCCAGCATTTCCACCATTTTCTTTTATTTTCCCACGGGTCTGTCTCTGTATGTCAGTTCACTGATCAGTTCTTCATCACAGCGCAATATATTAATTATGTTTGTTTTTTAGTGCCAATGGTACAAGCTCCATTTTATCCTTGCCCTGCACTGTCACATTGCTACGTGCAATTATTACTAATGTTCTTTTGATCTGCCTTCAGAGTTATAGAAAAATCTGAAGTTGATTTATATCAAATATTTTTTATAAACAGCAGCACTAAGTGCTTCTTTTATGTACACAAATACTAAAGCGAGCAGGCCTTTATATTGTAAGAATCATGTGGACAGGTACACTCTTGTTACTATACCTACAGCCAACTGGATTACCCCTGTGCTGTGTAATTCCATAAAGTTTATCACTCTGAACACCCTTAGCCCAGATCTTACTTATTACTGGCCCAGATCAACTTTCTTGAAAATCAGTAATGTGGGACCAGGAAGCAATCTGATGATTCAAAAATGTTAATGCCATGCTGATGTATTCAATTAATTAGATTATCTAGTAGACCACAAACATTACTTTAATGTGAATTATTCACAAAGGGACAAGGTGGACATTTATGACCAAAAAAGTCTTGTTTGACAACATACAGGTACAAAGAAAAATACTACTTTGTCAAAGTAATGTGTTTTGTGAGTGGCCCAATATGTTTTTTGACTGCAAGGAAGTTGCCAAAACAGTACGTCATGATGTCAGGAAGTACGCATGTGAGGGGGGAGGGAAGGGAACTAGCTGTAGCTTCCTTTTATATATAAACAAGCTTTCTAGTCTTTTTAACCTGTATTCTGAAATATATTGCAGAAATCCATTTGTGGCAGAGCAGGCATTTGGTTTTCAAAAAATGTAAACTGAATGTCAGAACTAATGGCAAATTATTTACACCATCCAACAGTCGTGACTATTAAATTTAATGTCACAAGATTTGTATGTAAAAGTGTGTGACATTTAAAAAATGATTATTCACACATTCAGGAAAACTTAAAATAAACAACACTTCAAACTGGAAATGATAGGAAAGAACTCTCTTGCATCTCTGGCTTGTGCTTTGCAGAATTTAAAAACAAATCACATGAATACTGAATCTATAAAGGAACTGGTGGCAAAGTGGATCCTTAATTCAAGAAAGTAGATTCAAATCCCACCCAGACTATTAAGAATAAGATTCTCTCTGTCAGGAGTATTAAAGGGCCAATAGAAAATGAGTTTGTTCAGTCTTGATCCAACTCCCTGTGGGTTCAGATGAATAGAACAGAACTGCACATAATTCAACACAAATTGGCACTTTCACTCAGGGGGTCACAGAGACGGCCAGTGTGGGAAATTATAAAGTAAATCACACTGGTGCAATAGGAGGTGATCTGAATTTGGAATTGCAGCATACATTTGAAGTATGGCTTAGGGAATTTTATTGTATCTCTATTTATGAGATAACTGACAGGGATAGGCTGAAATGAGGATTTTTGAAATGTCACTAACAAAACTAGTATTTACTGTTCATCCTTAACTGAGTGGCTTGCTAGGCCTCCTCCAACTCAGATTAGGAGTCTGCCACACATTGAATGGGAAAAGACTGTGCATTTCATTCCTGAGAGGATATTCGTGAACCAGTTGAACTTTTAAAACAAGTCAACAGCAACAGTTACTTTTATGAAGCCTTCATTTTTAGTTCATTTGCTTTTAAATTGCATTCAATTGCTCAAACTGCTGGGGTGAAAATGAACTCAAACATTTATCATTTGTCTAAGACTTTGGATTACTTATTCAGTAACTGTTACATTGCTACTCCTTCAGCAGTTTTCCATAACCAACAGTGAATAGTTGAAGAATTACTGGCTTATTATTAACATGACTTATTTCCATGCAGAGTTCAGAATTTTCTGTCTTCATCGGGTCCAATGATTTATGACAGTACAATGGCTCCTACATGATTCCAGAAGATATAATTCTGACAGAATCTTTGCAGTGATCTTCGTTTTCCTGAGTTTGTATTTAAGACTCAATTTTACAAGTGTTTCTTAACACCTTTAACGGCAATATCTAAAGATTTATTTAAATATTTAATTATGAATTATCTTAATGAAGTGTGAAACACAACCATCTCACTCTTCCCTTTTCTGACAAGTAACATGCTTGGAGCAACGATGAGAAGAAGAAAATAAAGATTATTTAAATAAACTGTAGTCTGATTAAGATTGTAATTTCAAAGTGTAGTTACAATAGACAAAGAGTTACAAAATACACAAAAAGATGGCTGTAAAAATATTAACTTGAAAGAGAACATAACTCATGAGTGTTGTGGGCACAAGTTAAAAAAATACTTCCTCAGAAGCAAAAAGATCAATAAATTGCTCCTTAAATTATGCAATATTGCCTGGACATTAGTAGAGTGGGATTTAAGTTCAATCCAAAACAAAGCACATGATGCAGGGGAGATTTTTGAGGTTTTGACATTTTTTTTCTTCCTCCAAACTCTAAGACATTCACTACCCATTGTTGAGTGACTAATCAGATTATCTGCACTCAGCTGATCTCTTTCAATCGAGATGGCCCTGGGGAGTGAGAAGACCAGTCCCAGGCCACTACCTCATCTACTGTGGGTCTTTCGAGGAGTTGAGTCTGGTTTACATTTGGTACCTCCTTACGGCAGTGTAACTAATATTGGTAGCAATAACATTGGAAGCAAATCTGCATCCCTTTACTGTGAGATATTATGTCACCCTATGCTAAAGATACAATGCTAGAGACTTTTAAAGTATCCACGTTTAATTTCCTTTCGCCTATTGTGCGATACCTCTACCAAATGCTCAAGTAGGTGTTCAGGAATTTAAAAAATCAGATATACTTAATAGCAACATACAGAGAGAAGTGTGAACCACTAGCGCAGTTTTCCAGTGTCACTCCAGGTTTTGGCTTCCAATCTCACTCTAAACAGCACTGGTGTGAGCCCACCAGGGTTTGAGACTGCCCATAGATTATAGCTACTGTACAGTCCAAAAATTAGGGGTGGAATTTTCTTGCAGAGTTGTGAGTTTTACATGCCAGCTGGAGAGCCACCAAGGGTTTGACAATGCCCATCCAGGCAAGGTCTGCTGAACCACACAGTAATCAGGCAGTAGCAGGGCCTTATGCGGGACCTGAAAGACCAGAGGCCTGGACAGAGTATCCTAACCAGTGAGAGCTGCTGGTCAATCAGCAGCACCAGGGAAGAGACAGGGACTATGCTGGAAGAGCATCTCCAATCCCAGGACGCTGTAGGAGCTAGGACAAGCTCGGGGGTGGAAGGGGTGCAGAGGGGGACTGAGGAAAATTGTTTTATGAGTTGGCAGCCATGGGGAGAGGAAGTGAAGTGTGGGTAGCAAGGGCATGGAGGGCTGAAACAGGAACCTTGTGTCTAACGTCAAGTCCCTTGGTTAGGCACAAATTAGCTTTGAGTAAAGGATTTCCCCTTCCAGCACTTCCCCCCAACCCAGCGCAGATGACTTACACAGTTGACCTGTCATACACGGGGAATGGTGACAAGCTCACTTGCTGCTTGGTTAATCTCACCGGTGCCAAGATGAGCCCTTTCAATTGGTCCTTAACTCATCACTTAAGATCTTCAATTGGCAGTTGGGTGGGAAGGTCAACCGGGGGCCTTCGCACCCAGAACTTGATTCTGGTGGAAGTGCAGCATAGTCCACGAATCTGCTGATTAAATGCCCTTCTCACCTCCAAGCTCTCCAGCTCCAGGAGCAGATTATCCCCCTGGGTTTAAGAGTGCCCACTGTGCAAATGATCAATCTAATAAGAGCTTATTAAATGTCTAGGAAGTGAGGGCACTGAGTATATAGCAACTACAAGACGAAGCTCTCTGCTGGGGAGGATTTGGGGAGGATTAGAGTTGGTGTTAGGTGCTGTAGCACAGTATAAACAGTATAACCCACCCCCGTAGAGCCAAGTCCAGCGGCAAACCATACTGTGTTCTCATATCAGTAGCTACAGTGTAAACACACCCTTAGCTGTGCATCATCTGATGACCCACTGATAATGGTCATCTCCTGACAGTGAAAAGTTGAGAAGAGTTTTCAATTCTCGAATTATTTCTGAACCGTTAACATTCATAAATTTACCCTGACTCCTAGACATGGTGCTTTAGCTGTAAAGACTCATGTCATTCACACACAGTTCTATAAAATAAACTCCGGTCAGTGCATCACATTCAAACATGTATTCCACAAGTTAGCAAGAATAAAAAAAGCAGTTTTAGTATGAATCACAATTCTGTACCAGGGTTTAGGAATCCTGGTCTATCTAGCGTATATGCCTCAAAAGGGCAAACCGACATTGAAGAACAGCGCCCTGAGTAAACCTTCACTTCAGTACCTAGCGCACTACAGAACAAACTAAACACGCTAAAAATTTCGCACGGTCGTGCGGAGGAGAACAATCATGGAACAGGGAGACTGTTCTTGTTGAAGGGTGGCCTCAGGCTGCTCCTGCCTCTCCTGACTCAGCGAAGGCACAGACCCAGCAGCACATTCTGACTTTAAAACTACGAATAGCGCCAGGGCAGAGCTCCTGCCGCCCCTGGCTCAGGTCACTCGCATACAGCTCTTACAGTCATCTGTTGATCTTGTTAGTCCGGGCAGATGCATTCCCCTGGAAACCTGACAGATCCACAAATTCAACTGCAAACCTGTTCAGACGTCACTTCAAAAAGCAATCGGCAGCAAAAACACAAACCTCCCCCCTCCCTCCCAAAATTCACACACACACACGACAAATGCATATTTACGTGCCTCTCCTTCACCTTAAAGCTTTCCAGAATACGTACCTCAACCATTAAACAAGACATTTAACCATAGTGGCAGACTGGTGACCCGGGAATGCCTTGCAATCTCTAATTGGTGCGGATCGTTCATGAAGACTCGCTCTGCAGGATCCAGCAACTGCATCCAGGATGAGAAAGCTCACACAGACACACACACACCTCCCCAAATACAGTAATTTAACAAAAAAAAATCAGCGGACACCAACTGACTCCAGGAAAACACAAGCTCCGCCAATGTCTCTTGTTGCTTCTATTTTCTCTCTCTGTGGGTCTCAGTTGTTTCAAGCTTCTCCCCAGCCCCCTCCCCCTTTATTGCTGTCAGGAGAAGGAGCGAGTAGGGAAGCTGTGCAAGCGAAGCCCTGTCTGGACAGGACACACACACATACACAGCATGTGAGGTAGGTGTGCAGGAACAGGGAAGCAGACAGAGAGAGAGAGAGGAGGAGCAGCTCCAGCTCTGGCTCGCTGCGGGGTGGAGCGAGTGACGCGGGGCCCGGCCCAGCCTCATGTCCCTTCTCCCCGCGATGACTTTCCAGCCTCCAGCACCGCCCGCCCTGCTTACATTAACCAGCTCCGCTCGCAGGAATCGTGGGCAGCTTTTTAAAAATAAAAACAAAATCCTGTGCTCTTTACTCTTTTTTTAAATTGCTCGGCTGCCTCCAAATTTTTTTAAAAATTCATCACTTGGGTTTGTAGAGCTGCTCACTCGACAGACTTTGTGTTGGTGTGGTTAACCCACTGGCCAAAGATTTTTCTTTCTGCAATCCAAACAAAGCTTGTGGTTGGGACGCAAGTTAATATTTCAGGTCTGAGACCTTGCATGAGAACGCACATCTGAAAGGCTAATTCTCCTTCCACAGACACTGCCAGGTCAGCCGAGTATTTCCAACATTTTCTGATTTTATTTCAGGTATTCGACATATACAGTGTTCTGCTTTTCCACCCTGTTAGATCGTCTGATTGTGTCTTGGTTCTGAGCTGTTTGAAATGATCACACTTCAGGCTTGGCATCATGAAAGTTCTTGTTTACATCCACCTCTGCATGCTGCCCGGTTCAGAGACGTCCTTAGAATGTGTTGGATCAGCTATCAAGTTGAACAGGTCACTGCATGCATGAATGTGGCCCGGCTGGAAAACTTGCACAGAAAATTGGATCCTGGCTATTGCATTACCAACTCGTTATTGACACTAAAACACTATCTTACTTCCTCAAAGAAAGTTGTTTGTTTCTGTGGGCAAAAGAAAGAGATAGCTATCTTCTGTAACTGGGATTTTTAACATTTCAAAAGTTATCGGTTTAAGCACGAAATAGATCCTTTTCTCTCCAAAATGTATTATTCCACAAATATTTTTATTCCAGTTTTGAGTGTGTTCCCTGTTAAATTCAGCACATATATCCTCCATTTTTTGTTTCCATACCGGGCAAATGTATTTTCAGATCCAGTCTCAGAGACACTAGCCTCCACACAACACAACTGAACAATGTGACTCACATAAACCAATGGACTGGATTTCAAACTAATGCCCTGAAAAATGTATTCCATTCTGTGAACATTGTTCTTTACAAAATAAAAACCAAAAGGACTGCGGATGCTGTAAATCAGAAACAAGATCAGAAATTGCTGGAAAAGCTCAGCAGGTCTGGCAGCATCTG